GAGAACCCGGAGAGAACCCACACTGCACGGGGAGAACATGGAGACTCCATGCAGAAAGATCCTGATGTCCTCACCGGGACGCGAACCGGTTGTGAGGCAACGATGCTAACCACCAAGCAACTTCGCAGCTCTATTTTATCACTTCATGATTGTTGTTTCCTTCTACTTTCTTTTTTTATATTTTTGAATGCTGCTATTTTCATGTAAATTTCCCCCAATGGGGGGATCAATAAAAAATATTCTATTCACAACATGTTTGAAGCTTCTCCTCCATTTTCAGGGTTGCCACGGTGACAAGTCCCACCTCATCTAATAAACGATTAGCTGGCTGAAACGGAGCGACTTATAGCAAGAAGATGAATTGCAAAGATGTGCTGATTTGACACATAATTGAGGCAGATCACAAGTAATTGAGAACGCAGTTTACTTGTACAGGAGGGTATTTTTTGGAGGCAGGGGTCCTTACTCTGGTGTGTGTACGCTGTTTAGATAATCCTGTGACCTTCCAGATTTATTGTGACATTTTTGGAGAGAACCTGCACCTCGTTTGGGAACATCTGGCTTGAAGAACATCAAGTAGTTGAAGTAGTTTGACTGAAGTAAATGGTCTGAATACTTCACCTGCTGCCTCTTGTTGTTCTACTGTTTATTTAAAAAATGAATGAAACTGCATGAAACTAATAAAATAGTTTCATGTAAAGGTGAATTAACAAAGTGAGAAAGTCATTTGCATGAAGGCGAATGTAAAGTGTCATAATGTAAAAGAAATGTGAAGTGCGCAGGGCAGTCCAGACAGCAGGAGATGTGAGAGAGAGAGAGCTATAAGAGGAGAGGAGTGAGGGAGGAGAGGGATCATAGGTGTGGAAGTCACAGCCGAAGCACAAGAGTGTTCCTGCAGCAGAGACACAGCAGGCGCTGAGGCTCCCCTCATCAGTGAGTACGTTCAGTTTAACTTGAAAACATGTGGTTTTCATTGTTGGAGTGGATGTAATGTTTGTTGCTGTGAACAGTAACGCGCTATTTGTACTGTTGTTAATGTTTTCAGGGATAAAAATAATAATAGAAGTTGTTGGGGAGGTTCAGTTGAAGTGTATAAGTGTGTTAATATTGAATACATGTGAATCCTCCAACAGTTTTTTCAGTGATCTTGTTTAGAACTAATTGATGGACAGATGTAGATGCTAAAGTAGAGTGTTGATGCTGACTCTGAGTATTGCTGTAATATACACGTCATCTATGCACATGTTTATTCATATATATTTAATGTCCTGTCTACACTTGCTCTAGTGACATCTTGTAAATGTGTTTTTCCTCTCTTGTTGTGCCTCCTTTCCAGCCTGACCATCTCCTTCAGCCTTATCGAGCGTCATAGGAAATCCATCAGCGTGCATCACCTCTGTAACCTGGGGGACACGCTGCTCCCCTCCGCCTCTTCCTCTGCCGTCGGTCGGTCCGTCCAACCCCACCCTGCGTCGCCATGGATCTGGTGGACCTGGGAGACGTGGCCGGTGGCTGTGAGGAAAAGAACTGTGGCCTGGCATCGGGCTTCCCGGAGGACTGCTCCAACCAAGAGTGCTACCGGGAGGAACCTATATTTGGACTGGTTGAATTAGGTGGGTAAAGACAACGTCAACTGGAGGGTCCTCGGTGGAGGGATGTAGCTGCCCCTGATTGTACTGAGCCCCAGTGAACCATCCAACTTACCACAGGATAGGTGTTTTCTTTCACTAACCATGGTTGGCTGGTTATCCAAGATGAAATGGGTGCTATCCATGTACACACTGCATGTTATTTAAAATATAATGGCAGTATCTTGAGCTTGACCTTGAAATATCATCTGAGGTCAAATGTAACATCACCAACAGAAATACCCAACATTGGTGCCTATCTGCACCAAATACCATAAATCTACCATCCACCATTTTAAAGGTATACGACATTTTCGGGGGAAAAAAAAGACCTTTGACCTCTTGCGGAGCTATTTTAGCACTGATTGACCCTAAAATCTGATCCATCTTGAGGAGATGCCATTCATAGCTCACTTGTAAAACAAAATATCAGCTTGTTAGACCTCAACACTCGAGCTAGAGAGAGAGTTACTCTATAGTTCCCCCCTGGTCTGGGGCAACCAAAACAATAGTAGTGGTAAATGGTCTGCACTTATGTCACACTTTTCTACCTTAGTGGCCCTCAAAGCGCTTCACAATGTGTTTCTCATTCACCCGTTCACACACATTCATACACCAATGGCGACAGAGCTGCCATGCAAGGTGCTGCCTGCCATTTGGAGGAACTTTGGGTTCAGTGTCTTGCCCAAGGACACTTCAACTGTGGAGGAGCGGGGGTTTGAACCGCCAACCTTACGATCAGAGGAAGACCGCTCTACCACCTGAGCCACAGCCGCCCGAGGTAGTGATGCTTCAGAAAGAGAAATTTGCAGCTGCAACAGTTAAGTTTCTGTGAAAACACATCCAGCAACACTGACGTTTGTCTTGGTTGATGAACTTAAACTGTGGTGCTGGATGCTACAAAGTTATACGCTGCTCCTTCAAAGTAGTTTGGCAGTTGGTAAAACGCCTTGTTTCTTGCAGCGGGTTCGATGGACTATGTAAAAAAATTAATTCATAAAAAGCAAAATTGATACCAAAGACATATCAGTCATGCTATATTCACTTCACGTGGGAGGTGAGAGTAATTAAAGATTCCAACATTTACAACTTACAACACGTCATTGGACAAACCAAGATGGCCGCCGACAATAATACGCTGCTGCACCTAAACCCTAATTTCTGGAGATTCTAATAAAGGTGTCAATAAATACTTAACAACATAAAAACTTGACAAAAAAGTAGTGTTTTGGGTGGAATAAACCTTTTAAACCACCAATGCTTGTCCAGAAAGTAGTATTTTGTGCTTTACAAGCTGCATCACCTGAAAATAGTTTGAATTCAGCTAATTTTAGGAATCTTCACACATCTAAAAACCCTGATATGAGACGTCTACACATGCAGAAATAGGAGTATGTTTTATTAATTTAAAAAAACTGGTTGTAGGAAAGAAGATGGATGGGGGAGGCAGGTGAGGGCGGTGTAGGTGAGGTAGAAGGAGGGGTGAGGATTGAGAGTTGAGGATGAAGGAGGGGCGGCAGAGGGAGGTGAACAACAAGCAGCCTCCTCCAACTTCCTGTTGCTGTTTCACTGCTTCTTCTTCCACTTCTTGTCCTCCACGTCTTTATTTCTCTCCTCCACCACTTTGTTGCTTTTCTCCATTTCCGCCTTCTCGTCCTGCAGCTTCTCCTTCCTCCATCCCAGCCGCCACCTCAGTGAGCTTCTCCTCCAGACTCCATTCATCTTCGTCGTGGAGCCTCTGGACTTCCTGGTCTCCGATGCTGAGCTGCTCCTTCAGGATGTCCACCTCCTCATCCTTCTGCCGGTTGGACTTGTTGCTGTTCTGCTCCTTCGCCAGCAGAAGCTCCTCCTCCAGGATCCTGATTCTGTTGATGTTTCTGTGAGCTCGGGAAAAGGAGTGCTCTTTTTCATCCAGGAACTTTTCGATGAAGCGCTCCATCTTCATGACCCGCTCCGTCAGACGACAATTGTTCTGCAGGGTTTCCTTTTCCTCCTGCAGCTCTTCAATCCTCTGCTCATTTTTTTCATTCGCCTCTTTGAGCTTCCACATCTCCTCTTGCAGTTTCTTCTGCTCTCTCCGCAGCTCCTTATTCTCCTCCCACAGGCTTTTATTCCTCTGCTCCATCACGCTGCTTCTCTCCAGCTCCTGGTCATCTTCTTCCACCTCCTCTCCGTACAGCATCGCAGACAGACGTTCCTTCTCCTTCTGGAGCTGGAAGATCTCTTCGTCTCTCTGGTCTAGCTGCTCCAGCAGGTAGTCCACGTCCACCTCAACGTCGCTCCACATCACGGGACGCAAAGATGTTCTCCAAAGTGAAGCGGTGGATGTTAGCAGTCTGTGGTTGACTGTGGTTCTAGTAGAGTCTTTGCTGGTCCTTTGTCCACCGTCCTTAAATGTTGATTCTGTATTACAGTTAGTTTGCTCTGTGTCTTCAAGTTCACACCTGGTATTGTCAGTTTTTTCTCTGGTATTAATGACTCCGGTGACAGTTAATAACGTTTACTTTTGTTGTTGTTGCTAGGCAACAAGATCAAGGGTCCCTGGTAATTCCTTGTCCAGTTTAGAAGATGGAGGACTCTAGAGTCGGCTGTTCTTGATCTCTAACTGACGGCGAGGATTTTAAATTCAAATGTTTTTTGAAAAATAAATATTATGAATAATAATAATTCAAACATTTTGTAGGCACATAAACTCACAAAAACTGAAAATGTGGAAGCTTCAGACTTTATGGCAGAGCTATTGTGATGGACTGGACAGGAGTTAAAGGTCGATGTTTGCTTGCTTTTGCTGGCAATTCTAAATTTATCATCTCTAAGTCAGATTTTTTGCAGTTTTCTGAAAATGTAGACTTTTCCTGTCATGATTACAACTTAGATGTAAATGTGAAGATTGTTGGGGAGCCGTAAACTGATGATTAGAGTTGCTTCAGTATGACTTTAACATGGAGAAACGATATAAAACATTTTTTTTGTCGTACATTTAACGCAACAGCTGTGGTGCCAAAATTGACAAAGAAAAATACAACTGGCCCTGGGAATTAACCCAACAAATTTAAATACTGAAGTTTAGACCCCACAGTGTTGTAATATATAACATTTAAATATAAAGGATTCAAGTCCTGCAATTTTTTTTTTTCTAATCTTATTAATTACCCAGAAACAGCTCTGTTGGCTCCCTTTTTCATGTTAAAAAAATACAAATAACCTTTGAGAAAAGCACAATCAGTATGTTTCTATATGTTTTTCTAGTGTGCGTGACTGTGATTTACATCCCACTGATGCTCTTCGGCCTTCTGGGAAACATCCTGACGATCCTGGTGGTTTGGCTTCGTCCACACATGAGAAGCTCCACCTACCTGTACCTGAGCAGCATGGCGGTGAGCGACATGCTGATCCTCCTCCTGATGCCTCTGGATCTCTATAAGGTACACACACACACATACACAACCTTTGTTTTAATGCATGCTGTGGTCATCAGATTGTAATTCTGATGTCTGATGTGTAATCCTTGCTGTGATTGCACCGTTCGCTCAGTCGTTACAATGGAAAGTCAGGCATTATGCAACTGGTTCCTGCTGGTAAAAGCTTTTCTTTCCCCTACTAGTACTGGTTTAAACAAGTTATCGTTGCCTTCCCCTCAGGGGAAAACCAACTAAATTAAGTTTTGTTACATTCAAGGAAGGGTTGTGTCATACTCGGAGCGTTCCTCAATCATTCTTCCAGCATTTCCTCTGCGTTACGGCAATATCATCAAGTGTGGACCAATAACACACAATATTTCATAGTTAAGAATTATTTTTACGATCTGTAATTCTTTATTTCTCAGCTGATATTATGACCAGTGTACAAACGACACCGTGGCTTTAAAGGGAGCTGCTCTCTTTTCTTCCCCAAAGCACTTGATTTAACTTTTATTTTCCAACGTTAAAATGTTATCAACTAGAATGACTGTGTTGTCTCTTCTAGCTGTGGAGGCCCAGACCCTGGACCTTGGGAGACCTGTTCTGTAAGCTGACCATGTTCCTCTCAGAGTGCTGCACCTTCTGCACCATCCTTCACATCACCTTTCTCTCCCTGGAGAGGTACCTGGCGGTCTGCTGGCCTATAACAGCCAAGACAGTGGTGACGCGGCGCAGGACCAGGGCTGTCATCGGCTGCCTCTGGTTGGGGGCAGCTGTCAGCGCCGCCCCGGTGTTGATCATGGTCGGAGTGGAAGACGTCGCGGGAGAAGAGTTCGGGCTCAGTCAGTGGAGGGAGGATGGAGGTTGGACGGGCGTGGACGGAGAACATGGAGGAATAATGTTGGCTGGACAGGAAAGAAGTGAACACATGGCTTTGATGGATGGAAGATCTCAGGGAATAACGTGGGGAGAAGAAGAGACACGGGGGTGGAGTGGAAACGTTGGAGACCAGCAATGGTTCATAGACAGAGAGGAGAACAAAGCAGGAGATGAAAGGAAACAAGGTGAAATGAAAGACGAGAAACAAGCAGGTGACCAAGGAGGTGAAGAAGAAGGAGAGATGGAATTTAAGGGAGAGCAGCAAAATAAAAAGAAGGAAGATGAGGGAGGAGGAAGGGAACGGGGAGCAGGTGGAGGTGTTGGACGAGTGGTGGACGGGAGAGAGTGCCGCTGCACGCACCACGCCGTCGCCTCCGGCCTGCTGTCGACCATGATGATTCTGTCCAACCTGTACTTCCTGGTGCCGCTCTGCATCATGGGGCTGGTGTACAGCCTGATTGGACGGACTCTGTGGCTCCGCCCAAAGAGCAGCCGGAGAGACCAGAGTCACCGAAACACTGTCAAAATGCTGGGTGAGGACAAACACACTGTCCTGAGATCTGTTTTCGTTGGAACCAAAAGAAAGTAGAAGTCAAGTCAAAGTTACTTTATTGTCGGTTCTGCTGCACGTGCACACATACAGAGAACTGAAACTGCCTTTCTCTCAAATCTTCATTGAAGAAAAAGTTGAAAAAACATACATACTAAAAAAAATATGTAAGCTAAACATATAATAAGCTAAAAATATCCATCCATCCATCCATCCATCCATCCTTCCATCCATCCATCCATCCATCCATCCATCCATCCATCCATCCATCCATCCTTCCATCTATCCTCAGTAGGGTCATGGGGGGCTGGAGTCTATCTCAGCTGACTGAGGGCGAAGGCAGGGGACATCCTTAGAGACAGACAACCAAGCACATTCACATCTACGGACAATTTAGAATCACCAATTAAGCCTCAGCATGTTTTTGGACTGTATGGGAGGAAGCTGGAGAACCCGGAGAGAACCCACGCTGCACGGGGAGAACATGCAAACACAAAGATCCCGGGTGTCCTCACCGTCTAGCTGCGAGGCAATAGTGCTAACCACCGAGCTACCTTACAGCCCACATTGAATCATGATCCATTTAATTTGGTGTTTTTACAATAATCAACAGTACGACTTTTTCACGTCAAACTGAAAACATATCTCCACTGGGTTCATCACAATCAAAACTTTATGAGACTGAGCTCACACTAAATCTCACCAGAAGGCATGTGGGAGATTCTGATGTCATGTGGAAGAAGGTTCTTCGCTCTAATGACACTAAAATTCAGCCTTTTGTCCATCAGACTAGACGCTATGTTTGGCGGACACCAAACGTTGCACATCATCACAAATACACAATCCCCGCTGTGAAGCATGGCGGTGGCAGCATCATAAGACGTGGGGATGCCTCTGCTTGTAGCTGCTACATCGTGTAAAAAGCGTAAAGTCACAGCTCGTCTTTCAGAAATACCACAGAAGATTTATTTTTCTGTGTTATGTGAGGGGCGATGCAGCCGGCAGACCACGCTGTAGTTTGTATATCGTAGTATAAACTGAACCATGTACCAAGTTTGCACTGGAAACCATTACATAGTTCTTTAGTGCTTTTGACTGGACAGATGTTTCATAGCAACACATTGCTGAAGTCTTCACTAGCTAATGTTTATCTCAGGTTTAATAGTCCAGCCCAATTTAAAAAAAAATCTGCCCAGTCCAGGATGATATTTGGAGACGACTTAATTACAGAGGTATGCGTCCTTTTCCCATCTTCAGTTCTTATTGGTTCTCATGTTCTCCTCCTGTGTGTTTTGTGTCTTCACCTCTTCCAGGAATGATCATCTTGGCGTTTATCGTGTGCTGGCTGCCCTTCCATGTTGGTCGGACCATATTTTCTCTTTCTATGGACACCGGCATTGACACCAGGTCACACAATCTGGATCTCGGCATTGAAACTAGAGAGAATGATTCAGCAGATGTTGATACGCACCTGGGCGGCGAAGACACCGCCGCGTATAACGTACAAAACAGGACGCCTACTCCTATGAACTCACAATATGGCACACCTGATCACAAATACGGTTTCATGCCCGCCGGCCTGTACAGCGATTACACACACAACAACACGTACCCACACCCCAACACGCACTTCGACTTTTTGTACTACCTGTGTCAGTACTTTAACCTCGTGTCCTCTGTGCTCTTCTACCTCAGCGCTGCCGTCAATCCTTTGCTGTACAACCTGATGTCTGCCAGATACAGACACGCCGTGCACAGCCTCATCCACACACACTCTCACACACAGGCTCACCACCTGCGCAGCACACTCACGGCCCGACACTCCACAACGACCATGTAGTACGGTGTGCACAGAAGTAAATCGCAGCGTACTGACATGTATAATTAAAGGGCATTAAAAGGGCAGATTGGTTAGCTGATTGGTTTGTAACCAACATTACTGATGTAAAGAGCAAAAGAACATGTTGGTAGTCGACTATTTTTTAACTTAATGGATTAGAAGACGTGTGAATCAACTCGGAGCAGCTCCAGCGTCGTTCCAACCGTGCCTTCAAGGCGTGGCAGCCGTTTTGATTTGTCGATGTATTAGCGAACATCGATAACGGCTGGATTCTGTTTTGTTGTTGACGATCAGCTGTACCTATAACCTACACAGCATTCCTCAAGTACAGGATGCATTGACAGTTATGGCTTGCTAACTTGCAGGATAGTTGTTTGTTTTTTTTCTGACTGTCTCTACCGTTGGTGGTCCATTGGACATGTCAGGGCGGGTAGATAACGAACGGTAAACCATAAACTAAAACTGTCCATTTAATTGCTTCAGTTTTATACTCCTGATATTTCTGGAATGTCAGGGGACAAGTAGCCTCTGCTTAGAAGTAATGAAGTAAAAACAGACTTGTGTTTACTTAAGGTTAGGTGGGTTGTTAACGGTAACCACTCGTAAGCCTTGTTTGGTTTTGCCTGGAGCTGCAGCAGTGCTTATGGCTTTGTTTGCCAATTTGTTGTTTGTATTTGGACTTTCACGGATCTAGCTGTTGATGGTCAGTAAATACAAACAAAAGTCAGTTGGCTTCTTCTTAAAGGCAAAGTCGGTGACTGTGATCTACTTCTTGCTCACCACTTATTTTGTTTATGTGCTACGCTGACCGCTTTATGAGCACAGAATGCCCTTTTTTAAACTCTGGTTTTGGTTGTTAGCTAGTATTAAAATTGTTCTCTCAGGTTTTAGAGCTTATTATTTTGCTGAATTCAGCCACCTGCTGTGGCTGAAAATGAGGCTGTATATGGTCATGACCAAAAGTTTCCAAACACTGATAACAAACATGTATATCATAGATATATCATTACCATCAATTCATTGACTCTTGACCGTCCTGACCAGTTGTAGTTGTAGTTTGGGTTCTCTTCCTGATTGTGATACAACTGTACCATGCACTTCTTACTGAGAAACAAGATGATTTGGGGATCTGTAGCTGATTTGGAATGGCTCAAAGTGACTTTCCTTTTAGATCTTTGCTGAGCTCCTCAGACTTTCCCACAGTAGTGTTTAAGTCTAATGAGTGTATCAAATGGGCTCTACTTAAACTGCCTCAGAGGAGTCGAGTGGTCAGTCGTAGTCACTCACTAGACGTTAAGAGGCCATGCCACTAAGAACATCTGAACAATAACAACCTTCTACATCTCCAAACCTGATAATTCAAGTTGCTGTATGCGTATTTTTGACCCAGCAGATTGTCATATTTCCAGATGACGTACAATAAATCTATAAAAGAAGCTCTCAATGTACCAGTCCATCTACGTACCAACCCTCACCTACGGTCACCAGCTTTGGGTCGTGACTGAAAGAACGAGATTGCGGATACAAGCGGCCGAAATGAGCTTCCTCTGCAGGGTAGCTGGGCTCAGCCTTAGAGATAGTGTGAGGAGCTCAGACATCCGGAGGGAGCTCGGAGTTGAGCCGCTACTCCTTTGTGTCAAAAGGAGCCAGTTGAGGTGGTTTGGACATCTGATTCGGATGCTTCCAGAGAGGCTTCCTCTGGAGGTCTTCCGAACACGTCCATCTAGGAGGAGACCCCGGGGCAGACCCAGAACCTGCTGGAGAGATTATATCTCTGGGCTGGCCTGGGAACGCCTCGGGATCCCCCAGGCAGACCTGGAAGCGTTGCCAGGGGGAGGGAAGTCTGGAATGACCTGCTCCAGCTGCTGCCCCCGTGACCCGACCCCGGATAAGTGGAAGATCATGGATGGAAATCTATAAAAGAGCCAAAATTCAAGATTCTTTTTTGT